CTGTGCAGGACATTCCAGTTCCTCCACACCAAGCTGGTCAAACCATAGAGATGTTGGTTGGAAAGACCTGACTCATTGCAATTCATCTCAAAGGTGTTCAGTAGTGTTGAAGTCAGGTACTGATGTTAGATGAGAACACCTGGTTCACCATCAGCATATGGATTCATCATATAGGAGTTCAGTGGGTTGAGGTCAGGGCTCTGTGCAGAACATTCCAGTTCCTCCACGCCAAACTGGTGAAACCATGGAGATGTTGGTTGAAAGACCTGACTCATTGCAATTCATCCCAAAGGTGTCCAGTAGTGCCGAAGTCAGGTACTGATGTTGGATGAGAAGACCTGGTTCACCATCGACACACGAATTCATCCTATAGGAGTTCGGTGGGTTGAGGTCAGCGCTCTGTGCAGGACATTCCAGTTCCTCCACACCAAGCTAAGCAAACCATAGAGATGTTGGTTGAAAAGACCTGACTCATTGCAATTCATCCCAAAGGTGTTCAGTAGTGTTGAGGACAGGTACTGATGTTGGATGAGAAGGCCTGGCTCACTATCGGCATACGGATTCATCCTATAGGAGTTCAGTAGGGTGGAGGTCAGGGCTTTGTGCAGGATACTCAAGTTCCTCCACACCAAACCATGTCTTTATGGAGTTGGCTTTGTACACAGGGGACAGTCATGCTGGTACTGAAAAGGTTTTTCACCAAACTGTTACCAAACGGTTGGAAGGGCACAATCTATAACAGACATTCCCAACCAGGGTTTTTTATAGAGATGTTGGTTGAGAAGATCTGACTCATTCCAGTTCATCTCAGAAGTGTTCAGTAGAGTTGAGATCAGGGCTCTGTACAGTTCCTTCCAGGGGCGGACTGACAACTCATGGGGCCCCCGGGCAATAGGGGATCATGGGGTCCCTGTGTCCTTGCCCAAACTCAAAAAACCCTATGAAAAAGGCACCAGGGGCATCTTATGGGGCCCCCTACTGACCCCAAGCCCTCGTGCAGTGCCCGAGTTTCCAAATGGTCAGTCCGCCCCTGGTTCCTTCACACCGGACTGGCCAAACCATGTCTTTATAGAAATGAGTCAGAAGACCTGGCACATTCGAGTTCATCTCAAAAGTTTTCAATAGGGCTGAAATCAGAGCTCTGTGCAGGACATTTGAGTTCCTTCACACCAAACTCATCAAACCATGTCTTTATGGAGATGTTGGTTGAGAAGACCTGACCCATTCCAGTTCATCCGAAAGGTGTTCAGTAGGATTGAGGTCAGAGCACTGTACAGGACACTGTAGTTCCTTCACACCAAACTCATCAAACCATGTTTTTATGGAGATGTTGGTTGAGAAGACCTGACCCATTCCAATTCATCCAAAAGGTGTTCAGTAGGGTTAAGGTCAGGGTTCCGTGCAGGACACTGGAGTTCCTTCAAACCAAACTCATCAAACCATATCTTTACGGAGCTGGCTTCGTACACAGGGGCACAGTCCTGGTGGAACAGAAAAGATTCTTCATCAAACTGTTACCACACGGTCGGAAGGGCACAATCTATAACGGACATTCCCAACCAGGGTTCCGTGAAACCCTTGTGTTCCTCCAGACGTTTCTAGGGGTTCCTTGAGTTGTGTCTTATTGATCTCCCATTTATTGGTGGTGGAGCCAACAACACTTGACAGAGACAAGCTGGGGGGGGCATTCTGCCTAATGGCCACCCTGTAATGGCCATTTTCCTACTGGTGTCCAGTGATTTGGTTTTAGCAGGGGTTCAAAGAGATCTGAAAATGATTTCAAGGGTTCCTCCATGGTAGAGAATATGAGAAAAGCTGGCCTGAAATGTCTTTGTATGCCGGAGTATTACCAGTACCCTTCAGTGGAAACACCTGAACTCAATAATTGGCCATATTTTCAGCCAAAGAGTGGTGAGTGTGAAGGTCAGGTGTCCACAAACTTCGACCATACCGTGTCTGATGGCAAGGAGATAACAATCAGTAGCAGAGTATGCACAGGTAATGAGGAAATATCGATCCCCCTCCCCCACGTATGTTATACCCAGGGGCGGACTGACCATTTGAGCACTCAGGCACTGCCCGAGAGCCCAGGGTCAGTAGGGGGCCCAATGAGATGCCCCTGGTACCTTTCAGAGGCTTTTTTGGGTGTGGTTTGAGTGTGGGCAAGGACACAGGGGCCCCATCAACTCCTATTGCCCGGGGCCCCATGAGTTGTCAGTCCGCCCCTGGTTCTACCCTCTGTTCGTAATGCATTTCCTTCATCGTACATCTCTGTGAGCCCTTTAAAGTAGATCGTTTACGCAGTGTGGAAAGAACGATTTTATTTTTAGAATATAAAATATAAAAACAATTCTAAGTGATATTACATGATATTCTCAATCCAAAGAAAAGGCCATATGAAAGGTGATCGACGGCCCTTCTCCCTCTTCCCACACAGGAGGCTCTCTCGGTGGTCAGCGAGGACCATACGCTCTTCACACCGCTACTGCCTAAGACGGAGATGCCGGATGAGTACTCAACCAGCATTAAGGAGCGCTCCGCTCTGCCCGAGACCACCTGGATTTATAGCAGCGAGCGACAGCACAATATCAAAGAGGAGATAGACGAACATACGGTGACCAGGTAGGAGATGGAAAACGCTGACAGCGTCATTACTGAATGTTCCTGCGTCATGTAGAGATGGTACTTTCCAGCCGCAGAAAATTAACACCTAGAGATTATCTTTTAAAAAAAAAAAAAAGGAGGCTCAAGTCTGATGATTTTTAACCAATAAAAAATATATATAAAAAATAAAATAAATATATATATATATATAAAAATTGAAAACTTCCATAAAAAGGACGCTATACCCACCACTGATCCATACAATGTATTCATCCATAGTATAGTAATATAATTATATAGCACATAGCGATTCATAATATTATAAGTAAATATTTTATATTTATATTATTATATATGAAATTATTTATTATTATTATTATTATTTATTATTAATAATAATAATAATAATAATAATAATAAATTTATAATTATTATTATTATGTATTAATTTATACACTTTTGTTTTCTTTGTATTTCAATGTTTTTAATAATTTATAAACAGTTTAAGACAGGAGCAACAAAACACGCCCACGCAGGGGCTATTAATTGCACATAAATTGTTTTTAAAAAAAAACAGTGCTCTAACAACAACAGAGCAAAAGGTGCGCCACACAGGGGCTATCAAAGGCACATAAAGTACAAAAACATTAGTATAACACCAACAGTAATATATACACTTTTTAATATATTACATATTATTTTCTACATTATAGTAACATTATATATATATATATATATATATATATAAAAACATTATTTATTATTATTAAAAATAATTATGTATTAATAATATATACACCTTTTCATATAGTAACATAAAATTTCATGGGCAGCGCAGTGGCTAAATAGTTAGCATTTCTGCCTGGCAGTACTCGGGTCCTTGGTTCAAATCCCAACCACGGCACCAACTGTTTGGAGTTTGCATGTTCTCCCTGTGCCTGTGTGGGTTTCCTCCAGGTACTCTGGTTTCCTCCCACACTCCAAAGACATGCTGGTAGGTTAATTGGCTCCTGACTAAATTGTCCCTAGTATGTGTATGTATGAATGTGAGTTAGAGACCTTAGATTGTACGCCCCTTGAGGGTTAGGGACTGATGTGAATGTACAATATATATGTAAAGTGCTGCATACATTGACATCGCTATATAAGTACCTGAAATAAATAAATAAAAATAATCATAATATTTTATATATATATATGTGTTTGTGTGTGTGAAATTATTTATTAATAATATTTATTAGTATTATGAATAATATAATACTAATATTATTAATAATAATAATATTTTTTTGTTATTATAATTATATTATGTATTAATAATATATACACTAATTAATATATTACATATTCTATAACATATTATCATAATATAATTTATATATATATATATATATATATATATATATATATAGATATAGATATACATCTATATAAATACATATATATATATATATATTATATATACATAGATATATATATATATATACAGTCAGGTCCATAAATATTGGGACATCGACACAATTCTAACATTTTTGGCTCTATACACCACCACAATGGATTTGAAATGAAACGAACAAGATGTGCTTTAACTGCAGACTGTCAGCTTTAATGAAGGTATTTACTTCCAAATCAGGTGAACGGTGTAGGAATTACAACAGTTTGCATATGTGCCTCCCACTTGTTAAGGGACCAAAAGTAATGGGACAATTGGCTTCTCAGCTGTTTATGGCCAGGTGTGTGTTATTCCCTCATTATCCCAATTACAATGAGCAGATAAAAGGTCCAGAGTTCATTTCAAGTGTGCTATTTGCATTTGGAATCTGTTGCTGTCAACTCTCAAGATGAGATCCAAAGAGCTGTCACTATCAGTGAAGCCATCATTAGGCTGAAAAAAACAAAACAAACCCATCAGAGAGATAGCAAAAACATTAGGCGTGGCCAAAACAACTGTTTGGAACATTCTTAAAAAGAAGGAACGCAACGGTGAGCTCAGCAACACCAAAAGACCCGGAAGACCACGGAAAACAACTGTGGTGGATGAGCGAAGAATTCTTTCCCTGGTGAAGAAAACACCCTTCACAACAGTTGGCCAGATCAAGAACACTCTCCAGGAGGTAGGGTGTATGTGTGTCAAAGTCACCAATCAAGAGAAGACTTCACCAGAGTGAATACAGAGGGTTCACCACAAGATGGAAACCATTGGTGAGCCTCAAAAACAGGAAGGCCAGATTAGAGTTTGCCAAACGACATGTAAAAAAGCCTTCACAGTTCTGGAACAACATCCTATGGACAGATGAGACCGACATCAACTTGTACCAGAGTGATGGGAAGAGAAGAGGATGGAGAAGGAACTGCTCATGATCCTAAGCATACCACCTCATCAGTGATCATGGTGGTGGTAGTGTCATGGCGTGGGCATGTATGGCTGCCAATGGAACTGCTTCTCTTGTATTTATTGATGATGTGACTGCTGACAGAAGCAGCCGGATGAATTGTGAAGTGTTTCGGGAATATTTTCTGCTCATATTCAGCCAAATGCTTCACAACTCATTGGACGCTTCACAGTGCAGATGGACAATGACCCAAAGCAGACTGCAAAAGCAACCAAAGAAGTGGAATGTTCTGCAATGGCAAATCACCTGACCTGAATCCGATTGAGCATTTCACTTGCTGAAGACAAAACTGAAGGGAAAATGCCCCAAGAACAAGCAGGAACTGAAGACAGTTGCAGTAGAGGCCTGGCAGAGCATCACCAGGGATGAAACCCAGCGTCTGGTGATGTCTATGCGTTCCACACTTCAGGCTGTCATTGACTGCAAAGGATTTGCAACCAAGTATTACAAAGTGAAAGTTTGAATTATGATTATTATTCTGTCCCATTACTTTTGGTCCCTTAACAAGTGGGAGGCACATATGCAAACTGTTGTAATTCCTACACCGTTCACCTGATTTGGATGTAAATACCCTCAAATTAAAGCTGACAGTCTGCAGTTAAATCACATCTTGTTTGTTTCATTTCAAATCCATTGTGGTGGTGTATAGAGCCAAAAATGTTAGAATTGTGTCCATGTCCCAATATTTATGGACCTGACTGTATGTATAATTTTTATTTTTATTTATTGAAATATATGTTGAAATATATTCAATACGGCCAAAATAGTAATTTTTCACATGTGTCAATATATTTGGGAAGACTATTTTTTATCATAATGGTGGGACTGGGGTGACAGGGTGGCACTGGGGGGGGACGGGGACATAGTGCCACCATGTCACACCAATGCCACCATTATGTTCCCCACTAGTGCCACCATATCACTCTCAGGGCCAGTATTATTATTATTATTATTATTATTATTAACATCATTAGTATTATTTATTAATAATATATACACATTTTAATATATTCCATATTCTATATTCTAGTAACATAATATCAGAATATAATTAATATATAATAATAATTCATAATATTTAATGACACACTTGCCGCGTTCAGTGCAGACGCAGGAACTTCCACCTTCTACATACAGGAGTGGTGTTAGCGGCTCAGTCACAAAGAGGTTATTTGTGTTTTACATTTCAATTCTCTTTTTAATGAAGATTTTTTTTTAATCCGCCCTCATTATTAATTTCCTCCCAGACTCCCTCCAGCAGCGGTAATGGCCGCAGATAAATCAGAAGAGGAAAATGAATCCCCGCACACACAACCTACCAGCCCACTTACCCGACACACCACGAGCGATGGAACCGAATCACCCAGCCTAATTAATGGGAGTGAAGAGAAGAGAGTGATTGTTCCGGCAGGTTGGGACCCTTTCATAAGAATGGGGGGGGGGGGGGGGGGGTCTCCAATGGAATGAGCTGCATATGATTGGTGCTATTCAAAGAGAACCAGTAATGTGACCGCTCTAATTGTGGACAATAGGGTGCAACTTGGCGTGAGATTTGCAAGTCGCATGGAATGTAAATCGCATACCAAGTCACACTGAGTGTGGACTGGGGCTAAAGCCTGCTACTGACATTGATGCTTTGGCAGGGAGAGAATACATGTAAATAACAGCGCACACAGCTATCCCAGGTAGTCAGGCTCTAATATAAAAACAGCTTAGAAATGGAGAAAGTGATAAAAACTCCACACTGGGGTGCCGTCTATTGTGAGAGAGAGGAGAGGGAGAGAAGAGAGAGAATGAGAGAGAGAAGAGAGAAGGAGAGAGAGAGGGAGGGAGGAGAGAGAAGAGAGAGGGAGAGAAGAGAGGGAGAGGAGAGAGAGAGAGAGAGAGGAGAGAGAGAGGAGAGAGAGAGATATAGAGAGAGAGGGGGGAGAGCGGGGGAGTGAGAGAGAGAAAGAGGGGGGAGGAGAGAGGGAGAGAGAGAGAGAGAAGAGAGCGAGAAGAGATATGGAGAGAAAGAAGAGAGTGAGAAGAGAGAGGGGGGAGAGAGAGGGGGGGAGCGAGATAGAGAGTGGGGAGAGAGAGAGGGGGGAGGGGGAAAGGGGGGAGGGGGGAGAGAGAGGGGAGAGCGGGGGAGCGAGATAGAGGGGGGGGTAGAGATAGAGAGGGAGAGAGGGGGGGCGAGCGAGAGAAAGAGCGGGGAGGAGGAAAGAGAGAGGGAGAGAGAGAGAAGAGAGCGGAAGAGATAGGGGAGAGAAAGAAGAGAATTAGAAGAGAGAGAGGGGGGGGAGAGGGGGAAGTGGGGGAGCGAGAGAGAGAGAGGGGGGAGAGAGAGGGAGAGGGGGGGAGCGAGCGAGAGAGGGGGAGAGGGAGAGAGAGAGGGGAGGAGAGAGAGGGTGATAGGGGGGGGAGCGAGAGAGAGAGAGAGAGAGAGAGAGAGGGGAGAGAGAGGGGAGAGAGGGGGAGAGAGGGGGAGCGAGAGAGAGAAGGGGGGAGAGAGGGAGAGAGAAAGAAGAGAGTGAGAGAAGAGAGAGAGGGGGAGAGAGGGGGAAGCAGGGGAGCGAGAGAGAGAGGGGGAGCGGGGGGAGCGCAAGAGAGAGGGGGGGGGAGAGGAGAGAGAGAGAGAAGAGAGAGGGGGGAAAGGGAGGGGGAGCGAGCGAGAGAGAGGGGAGGAGAGAGAGAGAGAGAGAGGGAGAGAAGAGAAATGGATGAGAAGAGAGAGGGAGAGAAGAGAAATGGAAGAGAAGAGAGAGAGATGAACAGACATGATATAGGTAGAATAAAAAAGACTAAATTGAAATTGCTCTCTGACTTTGGCGCAGCTGCACCATTTACTGGACCGCATCTCTTTTCTCTCCTCGCCACATGATAACCGTTAACCGATTCCTCCCCGGACACAGACCCGTTGGTGTGGACGCAGGAACACGTGGCCCAGTGGCTGGACTGGGCGGTGAAGGAGTACGGGCTCTGTGATGTGAACACGTCGCTGATGCAAGGCGTGGATGGGAAGGAACTGTGCAGGATGACCCGGGAGGACTTCTTACGCATGGCGTCCTCCTACAGCACCGAAATGCTGATGTCCCACCTGGCCTATCTCCGCCAAAGTACGTACGCCACCACCCGCCGCCCCCCCCCCCCCCAGATTATGTCCTGCAGTATTCTCTGCCTGTTGTAAGAAGCAGCTTTTATTAGTCCTTGTGACATCATCAGGGCCGGGACACGGTGCAGGCTGTGTTTTCACTTCCCCCTCCTCCTTCCTGCCAGTGCAATGTTCCTGTATTAACCAGCAGGTGGCGGTGTTCAGAAACAAGCAGGAGCTGTACTCGCAGGAAGGAGGTGGAGGAGAGAGAACACAGCCTGCACCGCCCGGCACAGAGTTAGTCCCCCCCCCCCCCTAGGGGAAACAGGCGTCAATAAAAACCCGCCAGGGGTCCAACACTACCACATTCAATCCAAAAATAAAATAAGAAAACGTTTTTCCTTTAGAAACACTTTGGGGGGGAAGGGGTTGGGAACGTCGGAAACATCAGCGCCTGCTGACCGAAACGCGACCGTAATTTTTGTAAGAGATGAATGCCCGTATCTTCAGCTCCACCTAGTGACCAAAATGGAGTATAGTTTCCTAAAACACCTCAATACCGCGTTTTGCCCACTGGATGGAGCTGAAGATACAGGCATCCATCTCTTACAAAAATGATGGTGAGGTTTCGGTCAGCGGGCACCGACGCTTCTGTCATTCATGCAGCGAATGTTTTATAAACAGACCCATTTAGGTCCAGTTTTGGAAGGACTGACCTAGTATCTATTTTTTTCCCCCCCTTTACAGACAGTCCGACGTTTACTTATTCGGTGGTTCCGACTGTTCCAGCTCACCCAGTGCCTGCGAGGAACCCGGTGAAGACAGGTGAGCCAACATTTGCCAGGGCCAGTCATGTGACCTACTCTCTGGCCTCAGAATGAGCCAAATCAGACTGACCGGTTGTCTCCTTGTGTGTTGTCCTAGAGCCGTTGTATGACGATGTACGGCGAGGAAGCTGGAACTCCACCACCGGCTCCATCCAACGAGGTACAATGCCGATGTGTTACTGTAATATATGGTTGGCCTGTGCTTCAGTCATCCAGGCAGACAGAGGGAGCCCTTGAGAACTCCCCGTCTTTGTGACATTGTATAGATGATGATGCTGGTTATTGCTGGGCTTCTACTGGAGTAATCACGTAACATCTAATACACGGCTCCAAAAAATGAAAGGAAGACTCTGAACACCCATCAGATCTCAATGGGGAGGAATCTCCTGCTGGATCTCTATACTGACATGGATGGGGGGATGGGTGAGGAATGTAAGGACGCCCCATTGTTGGATGGAAATGAAAATGATCGACCTACAGAGGACTGAATTCAAAGACACCCCGAAAATCAATTTAAAAAAATGTTGCATCAGGCGAGTCCATTTGGCTGAAATGTCATTGCAGCAACTCAGAATGGTCCTCAGTAGTCTGTGTGGCCCTCACGTGCTTGTATGCATGCCTGACAACGTCGGGGGAGGCTCCTAAAGAGACCACGGATGGTGTCCTGGGGGATTTCCTCCCAGATCTGGACCAGAGCATCACTGAGCTCCTGGACAGTCTGAGGTGCAACCTGGGGGCGTCGGATGGACCGAAACATGACATCCCAGAGGGGTTCTATTAGATTTAGGTCAGGAGAGCGTGGGGGCCATTCAATGGTATCAATTCCTTCATCCTCCAGGAACTGGCTGCATACTCTCCCCACATGAGGCCCGGGCAATGTCGTGCACCAGGAGGAACCTAGGACCCACTGCACCAGGAGGAACCCAGGACCCACTGCACCAGGAGGAACCCAGGACCCACTGCACCAGGAGGAACCCAGGACCCACCACCAGGAGGAATCCAGGACCCACTGCACCAGGAGGAACCCAGGACCCACTGCACCAGGAGGAACCCAGGATCCCCTGCACCAGGAGGAACCCAGGGCACACTGCACCAGGAGGAACCCAGGACCCACTGCACCAGGAGGAACCCAGGACCCACTGCACCAGGAGGAACCCAAGACCCACTGCATCAGGAGGAACTCAGGATCCACTGCACCAGGAGGAACCCAGAGCCCACTGCACCAGGAGGAACCCAGGGCCCACTGCACCAGGAGGAACCCAGGGCCCACTGCACCAGGAGGAACTCAAGACCCACTGCACCAGGAGGAACCCAGGACCCACTGCACCAGGAGGAACCCAGGATCCACTGCACCAGGAGGAATCCAGGACCCACTGCACCAGGAGGAACACAAGATCCACTGCACCAGGAGGAACCCAGGACCCACTGCACAGGAGGAACCCAAGACCCACTGCACCAGGAGGAACCCAGGACCCACTGCACCAGGAGGAACCCAGAATCCACTGCACCAGGAGGAACCCAGGGCCCACTGCACCTGGAGGAACCCAAGATCCACTGCACCAGGAGGAACCCAGGACCCACTGCTCCAGGAGGAACCCAGGACCCACTGCACCAGCGTCAGGTCTGACAATGGGTTCAAGGATTTCATCCCAATACCTAATGGCAGTCAGGGGTCCATTGTCTAGCCTGTAGAGGTCTGTGCGTCCCTCCATGGAGATGCCTCCCCAGACCATCACTGACCCACCACAACGGTCATGCTGAACCATGTTACAGGCAGCAGAACATTCTCCACGGCTTCTCCAGACCCTTTCACGTCTGTCACATGTGCTCAGGGGGAACCTGCTCTCATCTGTGAAAAGCACAGGGTGCCAGTGGTGGACCTGCCAATTCTGGGGTTCAATGGCAAATGCCAATCCAGCTCTATGGTGCCGGGCAGTGAGCACAGAGCCCACTAGAGGACGTCGGGCCCTCAGGCCACCCTCATGAAGTCTGTTTCTGATTGTTTGGTCAGAGACATTCCCACCAGTGGCCTGCTGGAGGTCATTTTGTAGGGCTCTGGCAGGGCTCATCCTGTTCCTCCTTGTACAAAGGAGCAGATACCGGTCCTGCTGATGGGTTAAGGACCCTCTACAGCCCTGTCCAGCTCTCCTAGAGGAACTGCCTGTCTCCTGGAATCTCCTCCATGCTCTTGAGACTGTGCTGGGAAACACAGCAAACCTTCTGGCAATGACAAGTATTGATGTGCCATTCTGGAGGAGTTGGACTGCCTGTACAACCTCTGTAGGGTCCAGGTATGGCCTAATGGTACCAGTAGTGACGCTGACCCGAGCCAAATGCAAAACGAGTGAAAAACAGTCAGAAAAGATGAGTGGGGAAAAACTGTCACCTGTAAAACCATTCCTGTTTTGGGGGTCGTCTCATTGTTGCCCATCTAGTGCACCTGTTGTTAATTTCATGAACACCAAAGCAGCTGAAACTGACGAACAACCCCCTCTGCTACTTACCTGACCAGATCCATATCCCAGGAGTGTCATGGACTCGATGCGACTCGGATTACAAAGTGTTCCTTTCATTTTTCTGAGCCGTGTATATACTGTGACCTCCATCAGATTTGGCATTTACAGCCAGACGAGTAAAACCTCCGAATACATCGATGAAATACATATAAAGGACTTGCCTTGTCTGTCAAAGAATTTGACTTTCTGTCTATCCAGTCCCGAGATTTTCACAGCTCTGCCACACAGCTCGGTCAGGCGGGTGACACCACCTTCCCTGTTACATTCAGTGATATCATCTCGGATCCCCAAACCTGCTGACTTGGCAAAAAAGGAGCAGCAGGAGGCTGATGAGTTCATCTCTCTGCTCACGTTGCTGTCTCCTCCTATCCTTGTCAACACATTTGCATGAAGGTCATCAGACTGGTTCCCAGTCCCGTCCCTCTCCCTCTCCCAGTCCGAGTGCTGCTGTATAGAGGTTTTAAAGAGGAAGATATCAAATCAATATCACATTGTAATATCACATTGCTCCTCCCGAGAGCCAGCCCACTGCTTGCATTAGGGCTGAGGGCGCTCGTGAGAGCAGTACTGAGGCAGGGTTCTGTGATGTTTTCAGAAAGCTATGTACAGCCCCTGCTGGCCCCTCCCACCAGCCATGGTCAGTCTGCATTGCATAGAGAAGCACAGAGACCTGGTGATGACATCACTGTGTCCATAATAAGGTATGAAAACGGAAAGGGTTTATTTAACAAGCTCATTAACATGAGGGGGGGAGGGAGGAGGAATTGGGGAAGGTAAAAATAAGCAGATTAAACTTCAGTTTTATTGCCCGGTCACACCGCTGCGATTTCAGGATGGATGAACTGCAAAATCCCAGCAGCCTTAGCGGCCATGGGCTTGTAGTTGTTAATGAGTTAGCATGGCGCTGTGGAGCTCTGTGGAAGTTCATTCAAGCTTCTTGTCAGAATATCTGCTCGGCCGAACACCCCGTACATCCCGTACATCCTGTACATCCTGTACATCCCGTACACCCCATACATCCTGTACATCCCGTACATCCCGTACATCTACATACACCCCATACATCTCCATAAACCCCGTACACTCCATACATCCTATACACCCCGAACACCCCGTACATCCTGTGCATCCCCGTACACCCCAAACACTCCATACACTCTGTACATCCCCATACACCCCATACACCCCATACATCCCTGTACATCCCATACACACCAAACATTCCCATACATCCCCATACACCCTGTACATCCCGTATACCCTGTACATCCACATAGATCCCCATACACCCTGTACATCCCCGTACATCCCCATACACCCTGTACATCCCGTATACCCTGTACATCCCCGTAGATCCCTATACACCCTGTACATCCCGTATACCCTGTACATCCCCGTAGATCCCCATACACCCTGTACATCCCGTATACCCTGTACATCCCCGTAGATCCCCATACACCCTGTACATCCCGTATACCCTGTACATCCCGTACATTCCCATACACCCTGTACATCCCGTATACCCTGTACATCCACATAGATCCCCATACACCCTGTACATCCCCGTACATCCCCATACACCCTGTACATCCCGTATACCCTGTACATCCCCGTACATCCCCATACACCCTGTACATCCCGTATACCCTGTACATCCCCGTACATCCCCATACACCCTGTACATCCCGTATACCCTGTACATCCCCGTACATCCTCATACACCCTGTACATCCCGTATACCCTGTACATCCCCGTAGATCCCTATACACCCTGTACATCCCGTATACCCTGTACATCCCCGTAGATCCCTATACACCCTGTACATCCCGTATACCCTGTACATCCCCGTAGATCCCCATACACCCTGTACATCCCGTATACCCTGTACATCCCGTACATTCCCATACACCCTGTACATCCCGTATACCCTGTACATCCCCGTAGATCCCCATACACCCTGTACATCCCGTATACCCTATACATCCCGTACATCCCCATACACCCTGTACATCCCGTATACCCTGTACATCCCGTACATCGCCATACACCCTGTACATCCTGTATACCCTGTACATAACCGTACACCACATACATCCCCTACACTCCCTACATCTCTGTACACCCAATACACCCCATACATCCCCTACATCTCTGTACACTCCCGTACACCCCATACATCCCCATACACTCTGGGCACCCCTTACATCCCTGTACAGTCCGTACATCCCCTACATCCTGTACACTCCATACATGCCATACACCCCATACATCCTGTACACCCTGCACATCCCATACTTCCCCATACACCCCGTACATCCCGAGACCTACATGGTATTAGCCATCTACTGATCACTGGAGCGATGCTTTCCAGGTTCCTTTGGACAAAAATAAGAAATGCACATTTTTTTTACCTGCAAAAAAATGTGCGTTTATTATTTTTGTCCAAAAGGTGAACTTATCCTTTTAAATCGCAGTGGTGTGACCGGTGACTTAGGCAGGGATGCTGACTGCGTTTCCTGATGTAAGGACGACTTTATCAATGAAGAGTTAGGTTGTCGCTAATGTAACACACTGAGTATGGCTGTTCATTTCTGCAGGATCTCCTCCTCAGACGCCAACCATCAGCAGCACCGCCGGAGCCATACGGGCCACTCCAGGTAGGTTGGGGAGACGGGTGCAGCTGAAGTTCCGACATTTATTCTTCTACCCCTCCCCCGGGAGGAGCCCCCTGGGGGTCTGATATCCTATGTTGGAGTATTATAAACAGATTATCTCAGCATAAAACCTTCTCAGGACAAGAATTGTCAGCTGGCCTGGAAATATTTTGCCTTTCAAATACTTTTTTTTTTCAAGTTGGAAAGTCCCTGCAACCTCAACCTTCATTGTGTGTAAAACTTCCCAGTTCATAAAAAGGTGCATGGTGAAAAAAAAAATATTATCGCTAATATGCTCATCGGAGCCCAATCACTAAAATAATCTCGTTGAAGATTTAACATGTTAATGCCACACCAACACGCGTGTTCAATATTTCGAAATCTGCCGCTTTGATGAACCGCTACCAGCCTGTAGTACCCCTTGATATCCAGGCGGGTTTTTCGGTTTTATTTTTGCGATAGTTTGATTGACAATCACTCAACACTGAATCCAAGCGAGTTTATATCTTTTTTTTTTATACCCTTTTTAAAGCTTTTATTTCAGCTCCCACCGGTAACGTCCAAATAGATCAACTCAACTCTTTCAAGATTTCCATACTTGGATTTAATTTTTTAAGGGGCGTTCCTCTTTTTGTGAAGAGCTGCTGAATCTAAGCTATTGTGTCCAGTGATAATTTGACTGACCCATCAAAACTGTGTATCCATCATCTAGTTCTCACCTTTTGTTTGGACTTTTGTTGGACATCCCATTCCAAACAATGGCAGTCAATAGGAGTTGCCCCCATGCCCATCCTTTGCAACTTTAATGGCCTCCACTCTTCTGGGCTGTGTGTCCGGAATTCCTGTTTAGCCTAAATAACGTTTGTGAGGTCAGTACTGATGTTCGATGAGAAGACCTGGTTCATACACTGTGTTTGAATTTATCCCAAAGGTGCTCAGTACGGTTGAAGTCAGAGCTTTGTACAGGACATTCGAGTTCCTCCACTTTAAACTGGTCAAACCATGTCTTTATGGAGATGTTGGTTGAGAAGACCTGACTCATTCCAATTCATCCCAAAAGTATTCAGTAGGGTTGAGGTCAGGGCTCTGTGCAGGACACCTAAATTCCTTCACGCCAATCCAGTCAAACCATACCTTTATAGAGATGGTTGAGAAGACCTGGCTCATTCCAAATCATCTCAAAAGTGTTCAGTAGGGTTTAGGTCATGGCTCTGTACAGTTCCTTCACCCCAGTTCCTTCACACCAAACTGGTCAATTCAGGTCTTTATGTAGATGTTGGTTGAGAACGTCTGACTCATTACAATTCTTCTCAAAAGTGTTCAGTAGAGTTGAGGTCAGGGCTCTGTGCAGGACACTCGAGTTCCTCCACACCAAACTAGCCAAATCATGTCTTTATGGAGATGTTGGTTAATAAGACCTGACCCATTCCAATTCATCCAAAAGGTGCTCAGTAGGGTTGAAGTCAGAGCTTTGTACAGGGCATTCGAGTTCCTCCACATCAAACTGGTCAAACTATGTCTTTATGTAGATGTTGGTTGAGAAGACCTGACTCATTCCAGTTCATCTCAGAAGTGTTCAGTAGGGTTGAGATCAGGGCTCTGTACAGTTCCTTCACACCAGTCTGGGCAAATCATGTCTTTATGGAGATGTTGGTTGACAAGACCTGACTCATTCCAATTCATCCGAAAGGTGTTCAGTAGGGTTTAAGGCCAGGGCTCTGTGCAGGACACTCGAGTTCCTCCACACCAAACTGGTCAACTCAGGTCTTTATGTAGATGTTGGTTGAGAATGTCTGACTCATTACAATTCTTCTCAAAAGTGTTCAGTAGAGTTGAGGTCAGGGCTCTGTGCAGGACACTCAAGTTCCTCCACACCAAACTGGTCAACTCAGGTCTTTATGGAGATGTTGGTTGAGAAGACCTGACTCATTCCAGTTCATCTCAGAAGTGTTCAGTAGGGTTGAGATCATGGCTCTGTACAGTTTCTTCACATCTGACTGGCCAAACCATGTCTTTATAGAAAAGAGTCAGAAGACTTGGTTCAATCCAGTTCATCTCAAAAGTTTTCAATAGGGCTGAGATCAGAGCTCTGTGCAGAACACTCAAGTTCCTCCACACCAAACTAGCCAAATCATGTCTTTATGGAGATGTTGGTTAAGAAGACCTGACCCATTCCAATTCATCCGAAAGGTGTTCAGTAGGGTTGAGGTCAGGGCTTTGTGCAGAACACTCAAGTTCCTCCACACAAAACTAGTCAAACCATGTCGTTATGGAGATGTTGGTTGAGAAGACCTGACCCATTCCAGTTCATCACAGAAGTGTTCAGTAGGGTTGAGGTCAGGGCTCTGTGCAGAACACTTAAGTTCCTCCACACAAAACTAGTCAAACCATGTCTTTATTGAGATGTTGGTTGAGAAGACCTGACTCATTCCAGTTCATCTCAGAAGTGCTCAGTAGGGTCGAGATCAGGGCTCTGTACATTTCCTTCACACCAGACTGGCCAAACCATGTCGTTATGGAGATGTCGGTTGAGAAGACCTGACTCATTCCAATTCATCCGAAAGGTGTTCAGTAGGGTTAAGGCCAGGGCTCTGTGCAGGACACAGGAGTTCCTCCACACCAAACTCATCATCAACCCATGTCTTTATGAAGCTGGCTTCGTACACAGGGTCACAGTCCTGGTGGAACAGAAAAGGGTCTTCACCAAACTGTTACCACAAAGTTGGAAAAGAACAATTGTCTACAAAGTCTTGGTATGATGAGGCATTAACAGAACCCTTCATTGAAAACACCTGAACGCCATCATGCAGATGGGGGTTCATATTACCTTTGACCTTATAGTATTTTTGGTACGCCACAGTGAAAAACGCCCAATAAAATTAGTCATCGTCTATCTAGGAAATAATTGGGTTTCCTGGGTCTGACCTGGCATTGTCATTCTTCTGCATGTTGGGCTGTTGGGCTGAGCATCTTATAAGATAGGAAGGCTTTCTATGTCTTTCCTTCCCCCCACCCCCCCCAACTTCTAATACTCCCGTTCTTTATTTTCCAGACCCTTATCAGGTGTTGGGGCCAACAAGCAGTCGCCTGTCCAATCCAGGTGAGTGACACGTTAGTCAACCTGATTGGCGTGTTCATTCTCTCCGTAGATTAAAAGAGTTTCTTCTTTGAGGTTCTTGATAATAAGATGGCAGGGTGGAGCGGAGCTCAAAGAGACAGCAATGAGGAAAGCATTGAACTGGTGAAAACTGCATCTTGTTTATTCTGTACTTATCGCTCAGATGAATTTAAGACTGTAAATCCCAGGGTAAATATTATGGTACAGAGAACACATTCATTTCCAGGCGGGGGGTCATCATTCTAATTATCCTGCATGGCCTCCTTAAAGCTGCCCACCCAACACCATGTCAGTTTACCCCGTAGTGAGTAC